CATATATATGGTGATAGCGTCGAGGCTAACGCTAAAGCTAACGGCTAAGCTGAGGTTCTTCTTCCATGAAGCAGCTCCGTTGTCCTCCATCCATATTTTCAGTTACAGGTTGAGTCATTTCTACCTTCTCCTCTCTGTCAACGCTCTCTGGTTTCATTTAAAAGAGTCAATCATCAGATACTGTCCAAGATTAACCTTCAGGGTGGATATAGCTCGCTAGCAGCCTCACACCGTTGACCTAGTTGATGTCATCATTTACCCAGAATGCTTTGCATGTAAATAAAATGGTGCCATCTGTGTAATATATTTTTAAAGTTTTAGTTTAAAAATTATTAAAACTGAACAGCCTACAGTATTTTTACAGTCTTTATTTTACAGTTAAAGTATATGTTAATCATATAAAGTTTAATGTTACAGCTAATCGTGGATCCCTTTAATGACATGACAAAATAACATTTTACTGCATGTTGTTTTTCTGTCTACAGCTACACCTTCTCCAAAGTACAAGGTCAGAGTGACACCTACTGGAAGTTTCAGCGCTACAACCTGATTGTGGAGTACCACTCCAGGCCCTGCTTGGCACCACCCTTCATCATCTTCTCCCACATCCATATTTTCATCAAGAGACACATCCGCCGCATTCCTTCTGTTAAAAGTCGGCACTTTGGTGAGACGTTAGCAAGCGGGAGATATGAGTATAAATGCGGGTCTAATTTTGCTGTTTACATCTGTCCTCATTTCGGTCCATTTCTGCTTATTCTTTTGTCCTCAGTYCTGAAGCTGCGAGGCAGAGACGCTAGCTGGATTGACACATGGGAGGCCATCCAGAAAGAAAACCTCCTCTCAGCTCATAATAAACGGCAGAGGGAGAGCGATTCGGCACGACTTCAACGTACATCTGTTAAGTGAGTTCCTGCAGCTGCTATTGAGGTTTATACAAGCCAATGACTTCAGGAGGTTAGAATTGATCAATAATTTTAGGACATTAAGTTTGACATGATAAATTGTGGAAAATAACTGCTTTTTATGGGGTTTCGCTGATAGAGCAGAAAAACCCTCAGCCCACAGTTTCTTTTTATTGTAGTTATTTATGCATTCATTAATTTCAAAAAATACACAAGCCAAAAATGAAATTTTAAGGAATCAGAAAGAAAAGAATATCTGCCCCCTATTTTCCCTAAAAATTTAATTCAAACAAAAAAAGAACAAACCTTCAAAAGAAAATACTTTTACCAACCTTTTACCGAGGAATATTCTCTCACACAATGAGCACTGAAGATAAGCACACACAAAAAAAAGTGGGACGAGAAAATTATCAGATGGATATTTGTTTGGATAGTGTTGGAGATGTTCTCCAGCTTACACAGTGAACATGTTCTGTTTATTTATTTTTTGTTTGTGTGTTTGTTTGTTTGTTTGTTCTACGTGCACCTGTACTTGTCACCAGAGGGCATTGCTGTGAATGGCAGAGAAGACACTGTCAGAACAGAGAAATACTGTAAACAGACAAATAGTTCAATAATGACAGTTTACTCATCTCTGCTGCTCAACCCACATGTGTTCCTGACAAATGTGGCGTTATTTATCAACAGGTTTTCCAACAGTATAAGATTGTATTGTCACAACTAACAAATGTGAYCCATCACAGTAAACTGAGGATCAATTCAAATTTGGCCAAAATGACCTCAGCACATTTTCAAACTCTTAGGTTTTTAAGCTACATTTTAATATCAGGATCATCCTGAYATCATGAGCAGTTCCAGGGATATGACTTAATTTATCTTGTTACTCACAATAATACCTTATTATTTTGTCTGAATTCTATTGTCGGATAGTTCTAATGAAGTTTTGATGTCATTTTAAAGAGGAAACCTCACATAGTATTTGGATAGATTCCCCAGCTGGAAAGAAAAAAAGCTTTGCTAACTCACAGGCAAAATATAAAAAATTGAAGGCGTGATTGCTTAAAATCTTTTGTTGTTGTTGTTGCTACTGCTAAAAAATGCTTCAAAAATTTAAAATTATATTTCAGACAGTTCATTCAAATGATACATTGATAAGGCATTTATTCATTATATTTGGACAGAATGCAATTACTGCAAACGTTTCACTCAAAACACCATATCTGCCCATTTCTCCACACATCACTTTGAGATTTAATCCTCTTTTCGATGTGATGGGCCACAAACATTTGACCAAACACAAATAGATCTGTATATTGTGTGCATAATAATATTTTGTGAGTTACCCTTCTTGGTTAACTGAGCTGAAAATACACTTGTGTGTTTCTTCAGGGTGGACAGTGTTCTGAAGCAGATGGCAGARATCCGAGACCACGAGAGAAGGTTGCAGCTGCTAGAAACACAGGTCAGTAAAGTATGATGGCGTATAAGGACCTTTGTGCAGACGAAAAACAAAAAGGAGGAGCAAATCTCCAAAAAAAAAATACATTTTGAGATTAATTTCAGAAATTTTCAAGAACAAGAAAATTCTTAGCTCCGAAAGTCGTAAAT